ATAGCACAGCTCTGAGGAAGGAGGTACTCCTCTGAAATGCTTGCTAGTCTAGCTGGGTTGTACGGACATCTGCGATTCCCCTTGCTGTGGCATCTTGTGGTTTTTATGCGATTTTACTTTCCATTTCTGTGAGTATTCATTTGGCAACTATGTTTTGTGAACAATAAATTAAATATCTATTGGGCTGCAGCTCCTAATCTGAAATCCGTGTGGGTGTGTGTCTCTGAACTCACACTGTCTGCATTCCGGGACACATACCTGCAACCACATGATTGTCAAATTAGACGCAGAAGCTGTGTCCATGCTGTCGCTGCATCCCAGTACACATGACTAGGACTGCCTGCACGGGGATGCATGGAACACTTGTGCATGACATGCAGGCAAGCAAGGCCCTCACACAGGTAAACACTTAAAGTCTTACTAAACCCACAACAGTATCCTCCGCATTGTGTACAAATGCTGTTTGATCCTGTCTTCTCTGATCCTCCCCTTCTTCCAGTGTCCCCCTCTTATCTCCTGATAAGACATATCGTGTGAGTCACTCTGCGCATGTTCAGTTTGGTTTGTACTCCTAGAGAGGGTTTTTTTTCTCCTTGGGAGAGTCCAGACAGAGATCAGGGGTTCTGCATCCTCCTAGAGCAAAATTAAAACTCCTCCTACAAGCTTTAACCAGTGCTCTTCTGGACACACTGACAGAAGTCACAAGACTGCTCTAAGTGCTGATGAGAAAAGGTATTTAACAGTTTATATTTACTAAAAACACACACACACACACACACACACTTCCAGGTCCCCTGCTGAGCAACTGTTCTGCTGCATTTTTATTTATTTCAGGTTCTTATATAGCGCTGTCCATTCACACAGCGCTTTACATATATATTATACATTCACATCACTCCCTAACCCTCAAGGGGTGTACAGTCTAAGGTCCTTAACTCACATTCATACATACACATACTAGGGCCAATTAACCCACCAACATGTCTTTGGAGTGTGGGAGGAAACCAGAGTACCCAGAGGAAACCCACGCAGGCACAGAGAGAACATGCAAACTCCAGGCAGGTGGTGCTGTGGTTGGTATTCCAACCAATGACCCTAGTACTGCCAGGCGAAAGTGCTAGCCATTTAGCCACTTGCTGCCCATTGTGAACATATGATGTCATTTTCTCAGCATGGGTGCCATTCAGAGAACACATTGCATTTTCTAAATGAATGCAAAATGTTCTCTGATTGGATGAGGTGGAGACCATGGATTCTCCACCCCAGCTCTGCACCTCATCCAATCAGAGATTGCTTTGCAATCATTGAGAAAATGACAAGACAAATTTTTGGCGCCCTCTGCAATTTCAGTTTTGGTGACATACTACCCCTGCCCTGGTTTACGCTTAATGCGACTTTAAAATCATGCTATTTCCAGTGAAGTAGTGCTTTTTCAAAGCCGCAGGTCAGTGCGATCTCATATGCAACTTGCCTGACATCTGTGCGACTTCATGCACAGATGTCTATGCACGTTGCACATGAAATCGCACAAAATAGTGCGGCACCGAAAAGTTGGAGTAGCACTGATTTGAACAATTCCATAGGCACGAACAGGGTTTGACTTATGCGATTTGGAACTGTCAAATCGCATGACAAGTCGCACCAGTGTGAACCAAGGCTAATGCAGGCCATACATGGGTCGAATTCCAAAAGAATTTTCTTTCGAAATTTATAACTCAGAATATTAGAATTTCGCACATGTTGGAAATTTTAAAAAAACAAACTAACTTCTAAGCAATGATGGGAGAATCGTAAGAGAAATATAATTGAAAAAGAAATGAGCATGAGCTGTGACCTGGAAAGAAAAGAAGATTCCCGGCCATGAAAATTCTTTTCTGTAGCAACAGGAGGTAAAATTATAGGCTTGGTTGGTCAAATTTCGAAATCAATGGTGGCACCATTGGACTACAAAACGCACAAAATTTCCAATTTTGAAAATTTCTAAATTCTAAAGAAAACTAGTTGAGAATTTGACCCATGTATGGCCTGCCTAAGGTTGAATACTTCTACAGAGATACACACCCTGCAGCTTTTCCCATTAGAACATTGAGAATGCACCAAGTGATTATGATGTACCAGACCCCCCTATTCAGAATCAGTCTACAAAGAATACGGTGAAACAAACACAGAGCACACTTCAGAGCAACAAATGGAAGGTATCTGCTAACAGGCTTGTTAATGTCCCCACAATGTATGTCATTCAGAGGGGATCTTTTTATTTTCTGAACAATATTGGAGTCACTCTTTAACTTGTACACTCTCCAGTTCTTTTGAAACTCTTGCCAAAGCCTGCTGTGATTTGTAGTTCCTTAGAACGTGTCTGGCCAACATACGTTGTCTCCTTAGAAGCCAGATAGACATGCCTCTTCCTGCAGCCTATTCCACAATACAGCTGCATATGGTTCTTATTGGATGTATAAGGACTTTGGTATTTATTCAAAACCGCAAGTCTCAAGGACAACAAAACCTAATAGATGTGGTTCCGTCATACGTAATGTAAACTCAAGATTCCGTTACACACCACTCCAATCACATGTTTACACTGATGTCATTGTGGCTTTACAAGAGAATAATCTACTGTCCTGTACGTTTCATTTGGAAAGAACTGTGACATGTTTATTGAAATCGGAGGATCAAACGATGTATCTTAAAGGAAACCCGCACTGAAGGAAATATGCGAGCTGAAATCAATAGAGGACACGTGCAGTGGCCAAAACGGAGGGGAAATGCTGCTAGAATTTAGTAAAACTGCAAAATTAACAAAAAGAAAAAAAAGAAAAGAAAACTGTACTAGTTAACGTCACATGATTTACCCCTGGTTCACATATATGTGGCCGTGCGGGCTGCGATTTGCACGGGCACGAGAGCCCATTCATTTGAATGGACTCCCATGCCCCGAGACATGCAGGGAAGAAGTCCCTGTACTTCTTTGGAAACCGCAGCCCACACGGGAACCTCAGTTCCCAGTGTGCTTGCGATTTCCAGTGCGGGCGGCGTGTCATTAGAATTAATGGCACCTGCCCGCAGGTCCGCATTCTGCTGCGTGGGTGGTGTGGCTGCACGGATTTTTGTGCAGATCCGCAGTGGCACCACCCGCACAGATGTGAACCTAGCCTAATAGTCCTGTTTCTTTATGGTTTTAGTTTCTGCATTAAAAACCTGCGTTGAACAATGTCATCCTGGAGGTGAAGGGTGTGTGAGGCTTCATGCACAGAGGACATTTCTTTATTTCTGCTAGATATCTTTTCTCCTTTCAGTGTTATTTAAGCATATTTATTTATATTTATGTATTATTTAATCTTTTACGTTTGTAAAAGTGTTAAAGCGGAGTTACACCCAAAAGTAGAAACTCCACTTTTCTGCCTCCCCCCCTCTGCTGCCACAGTTAGCACCTTTTGGGGGGGGGAAGCAGGTAGCTGGCTTTGGCAGGTACCCGCTCTCACTTCCAGGTGGGTTCTCCAAGACGAACTTAGCCAAATGGTCGGCACCTCCTGCAGCCCTCTGGCACAATTTCAAGGTTTCAGAGGACTGCAGCCCAATCTTTGCGTATGTGCAGTAGGAAACCGGCGGTGAAGCCACTGCCTGTTTGCCTTAGTCAACATGGCTGCATCAGCACCGACAGCCAGTTGAAGAACCAGCTCAGGGTGAGGATGCTGCTGGATGCCTGGACAGGTAAGTGCCCTAATATTAAACATCAGCAGCCACAGTATTTATAGCTGCTGATTTTTAATGTTTTTTTTTTTTGGGAGGTGGCGGGGGCCTGAACTCGGCTTTACGGCGCATTTAGCCATGTCATGCATTTGACTGTTAATTAATTTTATTGGTCAGAATAATCATTTATTCTGGCCATTGAAATGAGTTAACGCTTAAGCGCTAAACGCATGTTTACAAGCATCAGGCATTTTTTCTGCCAAAACACTGCTGCTCCTCGACACACTGGCAGTAAGTTTTTTTTTCTTGCTGCTAAACGTCCCTGCAACTAAACTCTTCTAAAAACCCACATGTGCATGAACACATAGGCTAACATGCTGGGGCATTTAGAGGCAGGAGAAAAAAAATGCCAGGTGCCCCTAGGAGCAGCTGAAAAAACATTCAGGGTTCATGAGCCCCTTACAGTGAACCAGACTTGGCCTAAACTTTGCTGCTTCTACATGGAAGTTCTGTGGCTTGGCTGTATTGATTGATATGTGTGCTTTAATCACAAGACTGGCTGAACAGAATTACAACCACTTAGCTAGTAGAGCAGTTCCCAGAAAAAGAACTTAACTGGGTATTTAGCTGCTTGCTTGGAGTTTAACTGTAATGTACTCACCTAATAAATGTCCCACTTCAGTTCTTGTTTTAGGTAAAGCTTTTCAGTACATAAAACTTAAATACTTTTGCAAATTTAATAACATAACCTACATGGGTTGGAAACAGATGATATTAGCACCTGCAATGTGTTTTTTTTTTTTTTTTTTCAAAATGTCTTGGCTTGAAATCAGCCGGTAACTCTCATCTTTGGAGTCATGCTGGCAGCTAAATCAGGAACTACTGTTCTAGTCCTTTTATTCCATCGTTATGGATATGATTAGGTGCAGACAATCACCCAGGAAATAATTAATGCTTTGCAATCAGTGTGGAAATGACACACATGCTGCCCCTAGCAAGAGCACTCCAGATAACCCAGAATTCCAGGATAATGTTCCATGGACGCAGCCTAACATCACTAAGTCATAGAAGCCCATACATCTACAAAAGATAGAAGATTTCATTTACATTTTTTTTTTAACCTGTTCCTGCTGAGTGGCAGCATATATGCAACCATTTGTAGACACTTTACTGTACTGAGAGCGTGATCCCTGCACAGCAACTGACATCCAACGGAAAGCTCCCGATACATTGGAGTCTTCCAATCATGTGACTGCTGTGACAGCCAATCACATGATCGTAATGCCTGCCTCCTGGCATTTTGATCCAGTTAACCTCCCTGGCGGTATTCCCGAGTGTAGCTCGGGGTAGAGTTTCAGTACCACAAGCGGTAACCCCGAGCTACACTCGGGCTTACCATGCAGCGTTGCTCAGGGATTCACTGCAGCGCTTACCTTGTCCTTCGCTCCCATGATTCGTCCCCTGCAGCGTCCCCGGCCACCTCCTCCGGCCGGTGCCGGCATCTGGCTTCTGTGTTCCGGTCCCTGCGACGACAGGACGGCGGCAAATTTGAAAATGAAAAAAAATGAAATTTTTTTAAAAACAATTATTACATAGTAAAACATTACTGTATCAAACCATTTCACATACATTTTGTCCCGAGTGCTTTGTCCTGTGCCCTGCCTGCATTTTGACTGTTCTTTCTGCCTGGAAACTTAGAAAAGTCCATGGCGTCCAAAAAGCATTTATGTCAAAAGCGGTTTTAGACCAGCTAGACAACAGCGATAGTAAATTAGAACCACTTGCAGAATTGAGTGATAATGATTCGTGGGGGAAATTCGCCATCAGACACTGAAAACGATTCTGCGACTGAGCTCAGCGATGTGTGAACTTGGCGCTATATTTCAAATTTCAGTGTTTTTGGTTTGATTATATTATTGAATTAAATTTATTATTATTATTATATTGTTATTTTTTTATGATTATTTATTAAATTATAATTTATGATTTCGTGTTTCAAGTTTTATCCTACCCGGAAGGTTTACTAGACTCTTGCTCGGACAGATTTCAGTGAGTTATTCCTAAATTACAGGCCTACAATAAAAAAACTACATATTTCCATGCAAAAAAATGTACCGCTTTGAGCACCAAAAATCTGAAATAATCATACCGCTAGGGAGGTTAAATGACTGGGAGGTGGTGGTAGGAAGTAAGGTTGCCGTTAGGGTTGCCACCTTATCCCTTTAAAAGTGAACACATATGAATGACACAGGTTCTGTGGCTGATTAAGGAGGTAATTAAACTCACTGAGTGCCTTATCTGCAATAAATTAGTCTCAGAACCTGTGTCATTTATATGTGTTTGGTTTTAAAGGGATGAGGTGTCAATCCTAGTTTCCACCTCATCCTTTTAAAACTGAACACATATTAATTACACCGATAAACGCAGTGACCAGTGCAGTGCTACAATATTATTGTAATGCTGCAATCACATTCCCCTTCAGAAAGTCACATGACGAGTGATGAAAATGCGTCGGGGAGGAGCTTTGGATGACGTCATGATGCAATACAGAGCCGGCAAGTATTACAGCAATAGCGGTGTATACTGATCTGCATACGGATAATACTGGAGGACACGTTGCAACACAGAGCCGGTGAGCATTTTGGCACCAGCGCTGCATACGGTCATATTGGATGACAAACTGCTTAAGCCCTATTACTGCTGACTCCTCACGGCACAGTTTTATAGATTGTGGAGCAATTTATATGGGAGGCTTATTCTGCTTGGTGCTGTTGGGCACCTTATACATGTGAGTGTGCATTTTGTATAATATTTGGTGGTTATTATTATTATACAGGATTTATAGAGCGCCAACAGTTTGCTCAGCGTTTTACAATATAATGGGAGACAATACAGCAACAATACAGTTCAATACAAGAGGGATAGGAGGGTCCTGATCCTTGGAGCTTACATTCTAAGATTATTAAACTGTTTTCAAGTTTACACACTATGTGGAGTCTTTTGTTTATGAGGTGATGTGATGGTGGGAGTTGTATTCCGAACAACAGTTGTGAACCACAGTTGGAATCCATCAAGGTGATCTTCAGTGTCCGATTTGGGACCAAAAGCGCAGTTTGACCAAACATAATAATATGTGAGGTCACACTGCTGGAGGTGAGCAGACATCTCCTGGGGGAATCTTTCACTTTCATGTTTTAAGCACTTGGTGGTTGCAGAAGGAGGGAAGCACTTTAATTAAGATAATCAGACTTTTAATTTTATATTCCATTTATGATGTCTTTTCAGCTAATATTGTAGCGTTGCACTGGTCACTGTGTTTATTAGTTGCTTTATATGGGATAAGGGAAATGTGCAAAATCAGCTACTGTTGGATTAATTATTAATTTATTATATTTAGCCACTTCCCGCCCGGCACATGTACATAAACGGCCAGACGGGAGCAGTGCAGGAGCAGGTGGCCGTTTATAAACGTCCTCCCGCATTCCCTGTCTGTGTGCGCTCCCTGGGAGCATGTGGCACCATGATACAGTGCCCGCTGTGTCCGGAGGACACAGCAGAACACCAATCACTGTACGGGACCTGTGTGTGTGAGGTCTCGATCATGTGATCACTGATTCGCCAATCAGTGATCCCATAAATAGTAGTAAGTAAGATGTCACTTCCTGACATCATTGCTTACTACTTGTGAAATCTGTGAATGATCACAGAGGTCATACGGTACAGGGCCATTCACAACAGCCTTGTACCATGTGACAAGCTGTGACCAATCACAGCTCGCACAGTATTTTTCAATGGCTGCAGGAATGCAGCCAGAAAGAAGGAGAAATTATTGCTTTTACAGCCTTTATGGGTGTAAAAGCAATCAGTGTAAAAAAAAAAAAAAATCTTCATCACCCCCCACAAGTAGTACAGTGTCACTATGGTGATACTGTACTGCTAGGGTGACAGTATGTTAAAAAAAAACATAAAAATAATAATATAAAAATGTAAAATAAAGTTTGAAAAATTATAATTTTTCGTTATAAACTAATTTGGGTTATTTGAAAGCTGAAAATTGGGCTGGACTGGAAGGGGGTGAAAGTGTCCAGACTTGAAGTGGTTAATTTCACAATTACACTCAGTTATTATTAGGAGGAGGGTTATTGTTGATCCATAGAAGCACACACAATTATATACATATTAATTTGATTCTGTGGCTGATTAACTTCTCACCTGGCCTATTGTAAAATGGCAGCCAAGTGAGAACCTTATTTTCCTGGGATCGTGCCTTGCGCATGCCCCACGGGCCGAGCTCCTGCGTGATCTGTCACCAAGTGTGTCAACGGGACATGGCCAATGACAGACCAGCCCGCTGCCAGTGCCACGTGATCGCTGTGACCAATCACAGCAGATCACATGACAGTTGTAAGCAGTGAATGGCATGAAAGGAAGCTATTCATTGTTTACAACTGTGCTGCAAGCTGTGATTGGTCACAGTGATCACATCTACAGACTGGGTCAATCACAACCCATCTGTAGCATGTGATCAGCTATGGCCAATCACAACTGATCACTCAAAAACTACTGAATGAATCTGTTTCATTCAGTAAAAATGCTTGCTTATACCAAAGTAATTTATTGGTATAAGCAATCACAATGTGTAAGGAAAAAAAAATCCTGATCACTTGCCCAGATTAGTACAATGTTACTACTTTAAAATGGTATTGCTCTGGTCACAGGAGGAGTAGAAAAAAATAGTAAAAAAAAAATTGTAATAAAGAATTAAAAAATATATATAATCATTTTCTAAATGTAAAAAAAAAAATATATTTAATATACACCAGTCAGTGTCCCTGATCACTGCTACACCAGTTATATGATGATGCTGTACTGCACTAGTATTTCTTCATTTTACATAAAATTATGACATGCCTCTTACTAAATACCTCTGAGTGTCTACTTTCTGAAAAGCGGTCAATTTGGGGGTATTTGTACTGGGCCTCAAGAAATGAGATCAGCCGTCATTACATCAGGATTTATACATTTTTAACTTTCCTACCAACTAAAAAATAAATAAATAAATACATTTTGGTCTAAATTTGTGTAAAAAGATTATTTAATTTGCAAAATGTTATAACAGAAACGAAAGAAAACGATTTTTTTTTCCAAATTTTCGGTCTTTTTTCATTTTTAGCGCAAAAAATAAAAACCCCAATGGTGATTAAATTAAACCACGAAAAGAAATCTCTATTTGTGTGAAAAAAAATGACAAAAATGTCATATGGGTGCAGTGTCACGTGACTGAATGTCATTTAAAGTGCAACAGCACTGAAAGGTGAAAATTGGCCTGAGCAGGAAAGCAGTAAAAGTGCCCGGTATGCAAGTGGTTAAAGTGGTAACTAAACTCAATTAGTGCCTTATCTGCGTTTAATTAGCCTCAGAACCTGCCTAATTAATATTTGTTCAGTTTTAAAGGGATGAGGTGGCAAACCTAGTTGGACATTGGTACAAAAATCAATAAAATGTCACAATAAATATACAAAAATCTAAAAATAGTTGCATAGCCATTCACCCTTCAAATTTGCAAGTACATTCATTCTATGCAAATTGGGCAAAAAAATGTTCTTTAGGCCATTTTCCTCTCTAAAAGGTTGCCACCTCATCCCTTTAAAACACGAACGCATATTAATTACACAGGTTCTGTGCTGATTAAGGTGGTAATTAAGCTCACTTAGTGCCTCATCTGCATTAAATTAGCCTTAGAACCCATGTCATTAATATGTGTTTAGTTTTAAAGGGATGAGGTGGCAACCCTACTCTGAACAAATACAAAAATACTGCATTATGGCCACTAAATGGAGTTGAGGAGCACAGAATACTATACATATGTTTTTGGAACAAGAGATAAAATGTAACAATTCTAGAGAATGCTAGAGGGAATTAGCAAATAAATGTAACCATTGGTAACCCCTGTACCTATGACAAAAAGAAATGTGTATGTTGCCCTTTTTTTCAACTGTTATTGGCCAGACCCAATGACGTCATGTTGTTTTTTTTGTTTTTTTTTTACCCTCCTATTCCTCTGATTGTGGGCAGATCCTTAACACTGCAGAGAACATGTGATCACCATGTTATGATGTGGCATCACTGTCTTCCGTATTCCTCCTGTGAGCCCAGGAAAGGGAGTGAAACCATTACAAGGGGCATCTATCAACCCAGAAGAGAACCTGTGCCTAGTCACAGGATCAATGAATCTGCAGGGGGCAGTGCTGCAGGTCAGCTGAGTGAAGCAGCTGAAGGATCCAGATTTTTTTTAAATGCTCAAACTAGAATTATTTATTTATTTCAGGTACTTATATAGTGCTGTCAATTTTACGCAGCGCTTTACATATATATTGTACATTCACATCAGCCCCTAACCCCCAAGGGGCGTACAATCTAAGGTCCCTAACTCACATTCATACATACACATACTAGGGCCAATTTAGACAGGAGCCAATTAACCTTCCAGCATGTCTTTGGAGTGTGGGAGGAAACCGGAGTACCCAGAGGAAATCCACGCAGGCACAGGGAGAACATGAAAACTCCAGGCAGGTGGTGCAGTGGCTGGGATTCAAACCAACGACCCTAGTACTGCCAGGTGGAAGTGCTG